TAACTGAGAACACTTGTAGCCCTTTCATGGAAACTGTTTAATTTGTTGTTTGTGATCTAGGTTCATTTAGGTTGTTTTTCGATTGTCGTTCGTCTTATTGACTCACTGGGGGGAGGATGGAGCGGCCGCTGGCCATCGCAACTGTTGTAACGCTATACCCAAGACTGTTTGCGCGCGAACACTAGAATTGTAACGTTGTGTTTACGTCGTAAAATTAAAATTCTCGTTTTATTTGGTCTTACCAGAAGTTAATATGTATTTTACTCTTTCGGGTGGTGATTTGTTCTGTTCTTTAATTAAAGATGAGTGAACAGTTCACAGGCGCTTCATCATTTATGCGAACTAAATGTAGATTATGTTGAATGAGCTCATAACTGCCTTTACAAAAACTTTCTGTTGATGAAAATTAAATTGGTCTAGAAATTGACCCAAGAACCGAAGCACTTGAATCAGATAAAAGGCATGGATTCCATCTCCAGTTTAGTTGGCTGGGAGTCCTGTTTGATATGAATCTAATATTTATGGCGACAAAAATACGAATACTTGAAGAATAAGAATAGTTATATTGTTAGTCCTTTAACCCTCCCTCCCCCCCTCCAAGTGACCGTGACAGGATTTCTCCTTACCATATCAATATGATATTAAACAGACAAGTGATGAGAATAAAGGAAAATGTCACCTCGGGAAATATTAGTTGATCCAATACCAAATTCTCCACACTCACATCACAAGAATTGTATGCTAGATAGTAAAGAGAATTACTAATGAGATCTTGGAAATGCAAGGATTAATGTAAATTCACAGCAAAAATTGAATTATTTAACAGATCATTCTGCTTGTTTGGATAATTTTAGGTTTTTATCACCGGAATTTTAGGATACATTGGAGCAAGAGATGATTCAAAACCAGATAAGTGTTTGGTGAGTTACTGTGCCTTTTTAAGAGGGACGCATTATTTTTCCTCGCCCTCTTCTCAAAACAACTAGACACACAAGTTGTGACAAGCCCCCTGTATGAAAGCTCTGGAATTAGAAAAAGAAAAAGAGCATTCCTCTCCTTCAATTCCCTGGGGGTTATTTGGGTATTTTTCAGTTCTTAAAGAATTGGAATTGAAAAGAAGTGGCAAGGTATAAAACAAGGTTATGCTCTTACCAGGGGAGAGTCCATTCCTATATCATTTGTTAGAGGGGTAATACCATATTTAATCAAAGTTGGACGTTTCTTTGAGGTTTGGCACTTAATCAAATAAAATACAGTAAATTACATGTAAGTTATGTGTTTAAATTGTGTGGTGTGTTTTTATCAACAGATTGGATGTTTTATGGGTGCCTCTATTACAGGTTGCATCTTGTCAGGAGGGATGTTCATCTGCTATTGTATTACTCTTGTATTCTACGCTGCAATGAAGGAAGCCTCTAGGGATTTTTTATAGAAACGGAGGTTATAATGGTTTCACTTCCTACACCAACTGTTATGAGGAGTATGGCTTTCACAGAGATACCCATGCAAATGTGGCTGGTTTAGGCTCCTGTCTGCTTTTTTTCTCCTTTATTGAGTTCTTCGTGGCCCTGGCGTCATCTATCTGTTGTTGTACCTCACCAGGAGTTGTGAGTAGTGTAAGCAATCTCCACCGACAATTCATTTGTTAACGTTGAGTTAATGTTAAATCATTTGTTGTTAGGTGCTCATATAATTTTTTATCTTGCATCAAATATTTCAGCATATTATTAGTTGGTTTAAATGTGTGTCAGTCATGACTGGACTACAAAACTGGGGAATATCCAGTGATATTTCCAATTTTTAAACCTTGAGTCCAATACTATTGTATGGAAGTTATCAGTTAAAAGCTGATTAAAAAGCTACTTTAAGAAGAGTATTTTGCTGTTTTATAGAAGGTAGGACAAACCTCCCTTTAATGGCAAATGTATTTTTCTTAAGTTTTACAAAAGTAAACATGATTTATTCCTTCTTTGATAACCATGAGGAATTTGTTAAATGTTTCAAAAATAAATGGCTAGATGTACAAAAATGCAAGAAATGAGTGGAACACCCAACTCTTTGAAGATAAGACTTATTATTTAATTCTGAAATAATGTTATTTTATTAATTATTATGGCCTCCTCTCTTCTGGTAGCAGCAGTCATAAAAAAAACACTAGAGCCTCAGAAATGCCATCAGTCTTCTTGGATAAGATCATAATGATAGATGCCAAGTGATGGAAGGACTGTTCACTTGTTTCAAAGCATCTGTTTTCCTGTTCACTTGTTCCATTGTAAACCTGCCTATTTTTGTAAATGGTTTTGTGTATTCTCTTGACCTTATTCGATGAATGACAATAATTATTTTGAATGAGTGACTTTCATATTTAACCTAATGTTTAATTACTGTAACTATAGTCAAGGACCAACCAGCAAGTGACATATGGCCAACCTCAATACCTGTACCCAGGGGCACAGCTTGGTTTGGTTTTAATGCAGACTGGTGCTGGTGTGGTGCCACATGGATACCCAGCAACAGGCCAGCCACCTGTGTATATCATGCAGCAGGTAATTAGATGTATCTTTGTACTGACATATGGAGTACCATAAGCATAGAAACTCTGGAATAAAAAATATTCAGTGTTAATGAAGAAGATTTTTCTATTCGTTTGGCAGCCTGGTGCAGTTGCACAGCTTGGAGTAGCCTTTTAGCAACCCACTTACTGGGCAGTTCCCTCAGGATCCAACCTAGCTGGAGCAGTGACTGTGCCTCATTCAGCTACTGTGCCTCATTCAGCTGCTGTCCCTCAAATGCAGAATCCAGCTCAAGTCCAGGTAATGGTGCATGAATACATAATTACTGGGTATTTAATTAATGGTGGCGGAAACTCCTTACGACCTAATATTAGTTTTTATTACATGACTTGGGAAGTCAGAGGGCCAATAACTAAAATCAACCAATCAAAATGCTCTATTGCTGGTCAATATTCTCTCAGTATTGGACCAGGCACTGTCCCGAATGGTCCCGAATGATACCACACTTGTGTCCCTTTGAACTTCAGTCGTGTAATAAATCTCTTATTAACCAAGCTTGCTCGGGACCGTACTGGAAGAATATCGGCCCTTGGTCTTTTTTGTATGGACCTCGCTGCACTCGGTCCATACTGTCAAGACCTCGGGCCAATATTCTTCCAGTATGGCCCTCGCGCTTGTTTAATAAGATATATGTATATTCTCCATACTGTCCCACATACACTTCCAAAGAGGCTGACCAGGAGAATTTGTTTGACAATAAAGGGCTGCTTTGATTGGTTATCATTTCCTTTATTTTCTTGACCTTAATGTGTGATCCAAAATTGATATTGTAAGGAGAAATTAGATGCTAGTCACTCTTAAAGTGCTACTGCGACGAAATTTTTGCATTTTATTTTCCCAATTTTCTGGTGTAAGCGTAAGTTTCTCAAATTTGACAATGTTATTCCTTAAAAACAGCGCCGCGAAGACATTAAAAATTTATCCGCGAAAGTAACTACAATGGTTTTAGTTGTGACATCTTTGATTCACTTCGACAACATCGCGAAGGCATGCCTTTACAAGAAATATGCAAAAGAAAGCTGGGGAACAATTCTTTCAAATTTTATTCCTTCCTTCCTGTGCAACCAGAAAAAACAACTCTCTCTCGGCATACCAAATTAGCCACGTTTGTTGAGTCGTTGACTTCACTTCCGTTCTCGACCCAGTTTCTTCTTCTTCACACGGAGTTCTGTAGTTCGAATAATGGCGGCCATTTAGATCGCGAATTTACAGGGAAAATAATATTACTTCTCGATGGAGTTTGGCCTTAAGATTTGGCAAATTTGTTACTTAGGGTAAGTCACTTTCAACCTCTGAGGAGAAAGGAAAAGGTGCATTTTTGGTCGCAGTAGCGCTGTAAGGTTTATAAAATGGTATGTGATATGATTGTGTTTTATCTAATTTGGAATTATCTTGACCTTAGCTAGGTGACCCTCAGAAATTCATAATCAAACTCTCCAAACAGAATTTCTGAGAGTAGATTTTCTTGCTGATTATTTCCATAGATACCTGCAGCTCAAAGGGATGAAGACTTGCCACCACCCTATTTATTTCCACAGACAGCCAATGTACCACCACTATCAATCAATCCTTTATTCAAACACGTGACACCTAGGAGTACAGAAGTTCTCTTTAAAACGTGTACGTGTATGTACAATTAGAAATAAAACATAATTTCTGTAAGAATACAAATAATAAGTAGATCTATTAAATAACTAAAAACAGGATCGAAGATCATAGACAAGAGCTATCAATTAAAACAAACAATATTAACAATAACGATATTTACAATCACTACCACTAAGCCATGTGGGCTTTAAGAGAACGCTTGAATGAAACAATATCTTGAGATTCTCTGAGTCTAGGGGGTAGCGCATTCCAAAGTTTACTAGCTAAAAATGAAAAAGACCGATGTAAAAACTCAAGATTAAAAGGAGGTAAATCTAGCCTTGTACTGAGCCCGCGTAAACTATACGGTACATTTCTAGCTCTCTCTTCTATGGATGCCAGTCCAGATGAAGAGTGTCTGATTCATTTGCATAAATGAGCAGTTACCTGACTGTGTTCATCTGAAAACCTTTGTAATGTAATTGGAGTTTTGTAATGTAATTGGAGTCCAGTTACGTACTGCATTAAGTATTTTAAATATATTATTACCTATGTTAGTTATGAATTGAGTTTTTCTTCTAGTTGAATTATTCAGTCTTGTAGGACTGTCCCAATCACAGGCTTACCATCTTAAATATCCGTGGTTTCGGGTTTCTATGGTAATGGGTCCTGTGGCATTTACTTGCATAGCTGTTATAAATGTAGTTAAAATATATTGCCTCTAGAAACTGTCCCTAGTAGTCAGTCTTCAAAAAAAATCAGCTCCGAATAAAGCTTAATAGTTCATTACTTGTTTGGAAGTGTTTTTTCTGCCAGGAAGCCTCAAAAGCGCTTGTTTGGGGCTTTCAAAGTTCGGTGGTTAATTTGATCGGCTTGCTCTCCATAGTTAATGCGACTGTTGCATTTCTTAACTAAGGAGAGCGAGCTGAATTAACCGCCGAACTTTGAAAGCCCCAAACGAGCAATTTTGAGGCTTTCTGGCAGAAAAAAAAAAACGCTTCTAAACAAGCAATGAACTATTAAGCTTTAGTTGGAGCTGATTTTTTTTGAAGACTGACTACTAGAGACAGATTCTAGAGGCAATATATTTGAACTACATTTATAACAGCTATGCATGTAAATGCCACAGGATCCATTACCATAGAAACCCAAAACCACGGATATTTAAGATGGTAAGCCTGTGTTCCCAATAATAATAACAGAGCAACCTCAGCACGAAAGTGTAAAATCACAATTTAAAGAAGTAAAATATGTCAAACATGCTATTTTTTCATGTATATGGGTTTGATATTTTGTAGAATAAAGGTTAGTCAATTTTTTAAAACCTCCACAATTTTGTGAACCATCAGCTCAGAGTAAGACATATGAGAGACCATGAATCTGGTTCATTGAATCATAATTGTAACAGATCACCTCTAATAGGTAACATGAATTCCCTGTAAAATTTACATCAGGAATACTTCTCCCAAAGGGATGAAGACTGGAAGATTGTAAAAGGAAGCTGGACAGCCCTTTTTTTTTCTTTGTTTATCATTTACACAACAGCTCTTAGGCATGTTGCTTCAAGGAATGATGGAAGCATTTACAACCCTTTTTATCGGTGTGGCGAAAAAGCATGTCAGCAATTTTGTTTCTTTTAATCCTTGTGTGTAGAAGGCCAGATCACTTCATTATGCATCATCAATTTGTAGTGTCAATATCCCCAAAGCATTATTATTGAACTTGTTTCAATTCAATTCCCTACCCTCCTTCACCATGGGCAAAAGTGCATTCAAATTCCCCACCAGAGTGCAGGATTTGATAGTCTTAGGTACTTTTTAAGGTAAGATATTCAGCGATCGTGCTTTCCTTTCCATTGACCGGTGATGGATTTGACTATTCAAGCTTTAAAACCTAGAACTTGCAGACCTTTTCTTCTGAACTATTCATTTGCAAAAGTGGAGCAATAAATACAGTGGATTATGGAGCGAAGTTACTATTATTATGGGGCGATCTAACTTTTTGGTTGGAGTGAACTGTCTTGGAGCGATTTAATCGCGGAGCGAAGCGACGGTAGTGCGTCTTTGGGTATGAGAAAAGTATGGAGTTCCCGGATATTTAAAGATAACAACAGCGCGCAAAGCACACTGGTCGAGAGTGGCCTTTTATTTTATATTAAAATTTGACAGCTTACGATCGTACCCAGAGTTTGTCGCCATTTTGACTATAACTATGGTGTACAGGGCCTCTACCTTGCGAAGGTTAGCCATCGCACAGATGGTATTTGGGTCTTTGATGATCTTTTTCGGAATAGCATCTATTTTCTCCGCCAAATACTGGAGTTCGCATGTTGGTTTCGGTATCTGGGTTGGCTTTTGGGTAAGTTTCGTCTAGCTTGTTCGAATTATATCACGCATACACGACCTTGGCTTTCACGACATGGGTATGTATAATTTTTTGGTCAACCGTTAAGATTGTAAAAGGCATTTTGTTGTGCGATTTTTCGACTTTTAAGAATAAACACTAGCGAGAAAAACACACAACGTTTCGATGACTCCATGTCATCATTCGGTTCTGTCCTCGTGTACCGGTTCACAAGAGCCAACACAAAAGACCAAACAATACACAATGGCTAACCAATAACTCCTAAACAAAGGAAGAACAATGGTGATTCCCTTGTGAACCGGTACACCAGGACAGAACCCATCATTCTCAAGTGAGAAGAGAATAAAAATGAATAGTTAATTTATACCGTATGAAGGTGGCAAACGTAAAAAGTTTAAAATATTTAAAATATTTAAATAAATAATTGCGCGTGTTAAGTTCATAAATGTAAACTATTAAATAAATAGTTTCGCGCGTATGGAATCCGATTGTTTGTTCAAAGAGGGCTTCATCTTCTTTATGAAAAGCATTTCATGAACTAAACAGTCCAGTTTCCCGGTGCACTTTTTAAGTACGTTGAAATGCTTGGTCAGGTCGCCGATGGTTTGTAGGCCGTGGTCGTTCTTTAGATGTTTGCCGATGGCCGAATTACGGTGCTCATTAATACGTTGATGTAAATGCCGGCTGGTGTACCCGACGTACTCTGCATCACACAGATCACATTTATAATTATATACAACGCATTGTTGGCTAACTATAGGAGGTTTAGGCTCACGTACTCTGAGATCTTCACAGATTTTGCGACTCTTGAACACGGGATGAAGGGTGTGATCGATTTTGTTGCTTAGATCTGATAATTGCCTTTTCACTGCGTCAGCTGACTTTTGATCTTTAAAAGGCAAAACCACTCGGTGAACAGCATTTTCGTTGACGGATAATTGAGCTTGCACTCCAGGGTTTTCCGACCTAACTGAGGTGACAAAGTGAGAGATGGTGGAATTGATGAGGTGGTCGGGATACTTGAGGTTTGTAAACATCATCTTTAGATGATCACATTCAGATTTGAAGGACTCCCATGTGGACGACAGGCGGAATGCACGATTCAACATGGTCTTAAGTAGTGATTTCTTGTACCTTTTATCGACGTGGCTCTGGTGATGAAGCAATAGGCCTGTGTTTGTTGGTTTCCGATAAACACTAGTTTCTAGTTTACAGCCTTTCTTGAGCACTTCCATACCGACAAAAGGTAACTTGTTTCCAGATGCTAGCTCCATGGTGAAGTGTATGGACGGATGGCAGTTATTTAGCGTTGATAATAAATCTTCTGCCGCTGGTACACTTGTGACAATAGCAAACGTGTCATCCACGTACCTTCTGTAAAATTCAGGGAGCTTGTTGTCTTGATCTAGTTTCTCTTCGATAGAACAGAGAAATGCGTTTGCCATAAGTGGGCCCAATGGAGAACCCATGGCCACACCGTCGGTCTGCTCGTAAAGATTGCCATCAAATTGGAATAGTTGATTCATAGTTGCAACTTCTAGAAGTTGAACCAGTTCAGGCTTTGTAATGCTGAGGTCGTGTGTAGTATTAAACCAGTTGTCAGCGAACGCCTTCTCAGCGATGATTTCGATCGTTTCTTGAAGCGGCACATTAGTGAATAGTGACGTGACGTCATAGGATACCAGAATGTCATTCTCGTCGATGACTAGGTTTTGAATCTCATCGGCGAAGGAGAAGGTATCTGATATTGTGTAGCGATTGCTTGACAGGGGCTTCAGTTTGTCATCAAGCCACTTGGCGAGGGCATAGTTGTAAGTGCCGGTGGCAGATAGGATAGGTCTCATCGATAGATTCTCTTTGTGTGTCTTAGGGAGTCCATAAAGATGGGCAAGGCGTGAGCCAGCCTGGCAAACACAGTCGGCAATCTGCTTTGGTAAGATCTTCCGTACAACAGATGCAAGGTGCTTTTCCTTCTCCAATAGAGGGTGGTAATGCTTTACTGGGCGGCCTCTCGTTTTTGGTCTCTGCAGGCTGACAGGTGTGAACTTCGATGTATCATTGATAGATGCCTGGCTCAGCAGGTTAATATAATCAGATTTGTTCATGATGACTACACCAGTACCTTTATCTGGCTTCGTGACGACGATGTTGTCAAGTCGTTTCAACTGCTTTATAGCCCTTTGAAGTGGTTTTGGCGGCTTCGGTGATTTGCACTCGATGTAATTAAGTGCAATAGAACGGAGGGTTGCGGCAGTTAACTCTTTCTTGTCATCAGCAAGTGTCCGCTCCAGTTTCCAGTAGAGTTTTTCAAAACTAGCTTTTATCTCGATGGCAGATATGCGTTGTGGAAGGGAGAACTTTAAACCTCGGGAGAGAACAAGCTTTTGGAAAAATGAGAGCTTGTGTGACGAGATGTTGTGGATGTGCTTGTCNCCGAAGCACTGGACGATGTTGTCAAGTCGTTTCAACTGCTTTATAGCCCTTTGAAGTGGTTTTGGCGGCTTCGGTGATTTGCACTCGATGTAATTAAGTGCAATAGAACGGAGGGTTGCGGCAGTTAACTCTTTCTTGTCATCAGCAAGTGTCCGCTCCAGTTTCCAGTAGAGTTTTTCAAAACTAGCTTTTATCTCGATGGCAGATATGCGTTGTGGAAGGGAGAACTTTAAACCTCGGGAGAGAACAAGCTTTTGGAAAAATGAGAGCTTGTGTGACGAGATGTTGTGGATGTGTTTGTCGACATCATGATCCTTGTTCAATAGCCTTATTATCTTGTTGGCATGATTGGCCATTACACTCTCGATGTGTTTCTTCCGTAGGTTTGCCATAGTTCTTACGATGTACATGTATTGGAGCGGCGAGCAGTTGAGACGTATTTCGTCATAAATCGCGTTGATCTCATCTTTCAAAAGTGCACTGGGAAACTGGACTGTTTAGTTCATGAAATGCTTTTCATAAAGAAGATGAAGCCCTCTTTGAACAAACAATCGGATTCCATACGCGCGAAACTATTTATTTAATAGTTTACATTTATGAACTTAACACGCGCAATTATTTATTTAAATATTTTAAATATTTTAAACTTTTTACGTTTGCCACCTTCATACGGTATAAATTAACTATTCATTTTTATTCTCTTCTCACTTGAGAATGATGACATGGAGTCATCGAAACGTTGTGTATTTTTCGACTTAAGGTATATATTTAATTCTTAAATGCGGCAGGTGCAATATAAGCTTTCAATTCACATGCGCTTGATCATTTGACTGAGATGGACTACTTCCGTTTACAAATCTAGTGTTACTATTATTTTGAAAGACCTGGAATGGGGGTCCCTTGCTCTACGCCGAGAACAAGCCCGTTTAATGTAGAAATTTACCAATTATATTATTTATATTTATATTTATTATATTTAATTATATTTATTATATTTAATCTACTTTTAAAAGTAGATTAAAAACTTTTCTTTTTAGAAAAGCCTTTTTATAATTAATATTAGTTGCCTTAAGTGTTAATGTTAAAGTTTTTTTTGTTGGTGCCTTTGAACAGTAGGATACTGGCGCTGTATATATCTTTTAATATTATTATTATATAGATAAATCTAAATATTTCATACCACCGACAGAAACTCGCACCCGTAGATCCATCTCATAATTTAAAATAATTTATTATCTCAAACAGACAAACAATGATGTATAATTCAAATTTTCTTATTTTCCAAGGACCATTTAGAGACAGTGGAATAGTCTACCATCTGATGTAGTATCATCTACTTATAAGGATGTATTCAAAACCAAATTGGGCACCTTCTTAAGAGAAGATTGAGTTATATTTGAAATATTTATATTTACTATATATTTATTATATATCTGATGATATTTTATGTATAATTTTAACTTATTAAACACATTTCTAAATTTATCTATAGTTAGTGTGATGACTTTACATTTATTGTTTATAGCTTTTGCAGTCTAAATAAATGTAGGTGTAGATGTAGGAACCTAATATCACAGCCCCATGCTTCCTTATGCATACAGTTCTTGGAAAAAAGGAAACAATTAACGGCCAAAAAGAATAGTTTGCCTTTGGTACCACAACTTTGCAATAGTATGATGTCGTACAGAAATTTTACTTTTAAAATATCTATTTTCAATGAGAAGCAAACTGGTGTTAATACGGCAAAATGACAAAAAATGAGTCATTCAAGCTTGAAGGATACCAGTGGTATGCTCTTATTCTACAGTAAGAAAGGAATTATTTAAAGGATAATTCTGCTTATTTGTATTGTAGGTTTTTATCACTGGAATTTTGGGGTATATCGGAGCAAAAGATAATTCAGTCCCAAACAAGTGTTTGGTGAGTTACTGGGCCTTTAAAGAAACTTGTCTTAACCATTTCTCTTTCTCTTTCCCTTTCCCTAATGCAATTATTACACACTAGCTTACACAGTAAAACCTCGATTATCCATTATATGAGCCAAAAATAAAACTGAACAACCTAAAAGGAAATATTTATCATTCAATATTATGCAAGAGTAAAAGTACATCCTTAAATCATCATCATGATGATGGTGCATAACCTGTTAACCTTCTCCAAAAGCTTATTAAATGTAATCAAAGCCAACCAAAAACAATTTACCTTAATACCTAAAATGCTCTTGTAGATCAGTTTGTTTCAATTAAGTGGCAACTGTGTGTTCGTGTCACTTCAAATTCCATCATTTTTTTAAAACTGCATTTAAGTCTAACAGTGTAAACCTTGTTTTGTCTTTCCAACCACATGAAACACTTCCTAAAACATTCAGCAATTGTGAAAAGCAGAAAAATATTCTAATGGGAATCTGTTTACAGTCCTTTGCTTTGTTTAATGGAAAAAGTTGTTATGAATCTTGAATGTGATTTTAAAATCAATATTCTTGATAAAATTATGGGACCAGAGAGAAGCAAGTCTGGATAATCAAAAACTCCAAATACATCCATGGCTGCCCTAGTAAGGGGGGAGAAGTGCAATGAACTCTCCTTCCTCCAACAGTAGGTTTTCTTCATTGTTTCTTGGACATCTTCAGTGACTAACCTTGATTGAATAAATTTGTATTGTATTGTATTTCACAATTTGCCAAAGGCAGGTAAATTTATAATAGGACAGGGTTGCGATAAGTGTAAGGGTTCTTTAACATATCCCTTGCTAACCAGTATAAAGAAGATGCAGGAGATGGGGCCTACGGTTTTTTGGTCCTTATCAGAGAAGGATAATACAACTTACAGTAGCACAATCTCCTCAGTTATTTTAAGACCCTGAGTAAAACGTGTACGTGTATGT